AATAGGGTTACAAGAGCATTACAACACTTTTCCTGTACGACCGAGCACAAAGGAGAGACTATTGAAAGTCTACTGTCCAGCTGCATCACTGTCTAGTACAGAAACTGCAAGGTTTCAGACTGCAACATACTGTAGTGGATAGTGAGGGCAGCAGAGAAAGTCCAGTTACCACGACCGCTGCCTTCGAAGAGCTAACAACATCATGGAAGACCAATTCCACCCACTACATTGTCTTTTTTCTCTATTGCTGTCTGGTAAACGGTATCGAAGCATGCGTGCTGGTTCCACCAGACTATGTAGCTTCATACCACAAGCCATCAGAATTCTTAATGCACATTCATATTTAAATGTCTGCCTAGCCAAATGCCATTCTAGTACACTAGCTCACTGTATACTTCACAATAATTCCATTATTAATCTGTGGCACTTGGACTTAACCTATAACACTCAACCAATGCTGCTATATTTTCCTTGTGTGCAGTGATTGATATTCAGCATGCTGCTAGGTGGTTCTCTGACACATTATGCTGGTTATTTTTTAAATATGTATACAAAGTACCTCAGCCCCCCATGGCCCTATATTAGGGATGGGCCGATTCACATTTTTTCAGTTCCGATCCGATTCTGATATTGCCAATATCGATAGATTCCTATACAAAAGCTTTTTACTTTAATATTTTAATATAAGTATATTCATACTTCACATGTTATTAATGTTTTTACATTAGTAATTACAAATGAAACAATGTATGGCAACTTGTTTTAAGCGTTTTTGAGGCATTTTCAGTTAAGTATATTCCAAGAGAATATACGCAAGTGGCGAATGGTTAAAATGCCCCACTATTTTTCTATCACTGGCAACAGCGTCACTTTTGACTTCGTTTGATGGCAACCCCTCTTGTATCACAAGCTGTAGCGAGTTCGCAAAACTGCCCAAGCTAGCGACATCCAAATCATCCATTGCTTTTTCTCATATTACTTGCGTGATCTAGCACAATTGCATGTGCTGTGCCTAGTGGGATTTTTCACTAAATACTGTTCCCACCTCTCAAAACTTTGTTTTTACAAAGACTGCAAATTGCTGTGCCATTAGTTGCTGCCTGAAAAACTTCTCCATCATCATCCTCTTATCTGATTCTTACGCTCCCCCTACTGCAAGGGGTATGCGCATGACGTCACAGCAGGCGGAAGTCACTGTGCTCTCACTAGTGGTGTGCGATACTACAAGATTTGGTATCGATCCGATATCAAGTAAATACAGGGCAAGTATCGCCGATACGATACCGATATCGATACTTTTTAATAATTAAGGTGGATGCATCATCAATTTGCTAAAACTGAATTAATTTTCATTACCTTTAAGTGTTTTTGTGATTTTTATTCGAGGAACACCTGTTCTGCTATATCTTAATCTTTATCGTACCACCACTTCTCACAAGTTGCCAGTACTCTGCTACTCAGAGACAAGTGTCACGCGAGAGTGGCGGGGCACCGCGCGCCGGACCGTCAGTGTTGTTGAGGCGCTCTTGATGTTTCCAACACCCCCGCTGCCGTTCTCACGGTCAATACAGTAGCGACACTTTTATTTCTCCACTTAGAGCACTGCTTATACAGATCACCATATTAAACGACAGCCCAACTGACAGTTCCGGTTATTAGCACAGTACACAGAGAGTGCTGTAGACATGCAGCAGACAAGACGCATAGCACCTCAAACCCGCTTTATAACTTTACATTTAGATCGATACAGGGGGGTATGTGTATCGATGCATTCGTGTTGTGTTTTTTTCTTCCCCGCCAATCAGGAGTCAGGAGCCGCTTGTGTATAGATCTTCAGATTCAGCCTTTATTGCCACAGTGAGGTTACAACCAAGGCTGGACACCCTGCAGGAGTGTGTCCAATACTGTTTTTACACCAACTTTTATAC